TTAAGGAAGCTCAAATCACTTTTTTTTATCTTGCATTAGATATTATTAAAGTGTGCTCGATGTTGATGGTGGCATTCCAGTAAACACTGAAGGAGAACAGTCTAGACTTAACGGATCCATTTGAGCTGCCACTGCTAATTGATCTTCTGTAGCATGATTACCAACTTTGTCACGTAGAGATTCGTAAAGAGTGTGGACTGCTTCGTTATGCTGTAAATTTAAAAAAAACATTAAATCAATAACAGTGGGATGTCATCTGGCTCTGTGTAAAAGCGACGGATTCTTAATCAATAGGTCATGAGTTAAATTCCATATAAAAGGAAAAATTTCGTGATCGTAATGTTTAAGATTACTACATATATAATAAAAACAGAGTATCTTTATACTCAGTTATCCCATCTAATAAACATATAACGAACTTCTTCCGAATATTGTAAAATATTACCTGACTTGTTGGTTGTAAGGCTTTCAATAATGAATGTAATCGCGTGGATGGTAATTTAGGATGTATGTACCAAAGTAATTTTAACAGATGTCGTGTGACGTTGTCCCTTCCTAAACCGGCCAAGAAGAATTCGTCAAAAATTACTGTACAAAACGATTCGTTTGAAAATTCATCAGCCATATTTAATATTAATAACGAAACCTGTAATTGAAAATCAATGACTTTATCAATACAAAAATTTGTAATTGATATATCAATTGTGATAAATAATGACGTCGCTCGATAGTAAGATAGTAAAATAATACAACAAATATGTTACCAGTGTGTGTAAAAATGGATCTTCAAAAGCTCGTTGTGCTTGGCAGTTTGGCAATGTGGCCAGGACTCTCATCAAACCTCTAGCATCTCCCCTACCCCTTCCAACCCCACCGCCACCTCCTACATGCAATGCATAATACATGGAGAGAACTGCCGCTACTCCAGAAAGCTGAGCGTACGCTTGGCACGCATCAGGAGGTGGTCCAGAATGTTCTATAATTGCGATTGCACTTTCCCTTTCATCAGGTGGAAGTCTACAGTTGAGTTGCCTTATTTGATCATCAACCTAAGACATCATTATTATTTTTATATATCGGTATTTTTATATTCTTCTTTAAGTGCCTCAGAAAAGATTTTAGATTTTTAGATTTTAGATTTTTTTGGAGGTAAAATTGCCATAAAAGATTTGTTTATGAGAAGTTCGAAATGATTATACTGAAAATCATACTAAAAGTCTTGACCATCAGGATTTAGAAAACTTTCCAGCTTCAAAAAACTGATAAAAAATGCAGTTTTTAAAAAATATTTGAGGAAGTATTTATTTTATCGAAATAAAGATCATTATCAAAATGAAAACTGATAAAATTACGAACAATTTTTTTCTTAAGATCGTACAATCAATATTTTATCATATAATAATTTCCATGATAGAATTTTTTTAAGAATGTATTTTTGGTTATTTCGAAAATAAAATGATTTTTCACACTTTTTTTGTAAATATCTTGGATCTGGTTACTTTTATGTACATTGTATATATTGCGTTCTTTTTGATAATGATCTTTATTTCAATAAATTAAATATTTTCTGAGATTTTTGAAAGACTTTTTTATGAGTTTTTTGAAGCTGGAAAGTTTTCCAGCTTCCAGGTCCACTGACAGTCAGGACTTTTAGTGTGTTGTATAATATGTCATTTCCCTTCACAACTTCCTTTAAAAATCAAATCTTTTATGGCAATATTTTTTACCTCCTAAACGCAAGAAAAATTTAATTTTCCTGGGCTATATGCACCAGCGTGTAGGTGCTTTCCTTTCATATATCTTTGCGCACACATTGACAAGATATATGGGGACCTACAGTTTAAATGCCGATTTCGAACATCAATTTTTAGTAGAAAGTTTCTTGGGAAAGTATACTACTTGATGGTTTGCCTTCCAAGAGAAGCTACGAGTACAAAAATTTTCTGCCGCAGATTGAACCCGAGATCTCTAGGGTTATATTCAAATTTCCCATCCAAGTATCACTCCATTCATATTGTTTACCGAACGTTACACAACAAAGAATACGACACCTGGATGGGAATCTGAACATGTCCTAATACAGTAGACCAGTGCACAGTCTGCTACACTGTGCTCATACTCCTTTTTTTATATTATATTAAATTATAAACTCTATATAAACATTTTAATTATTTCATATAAATTACCATGAGTGACATAAGTGCTGGCAGGAACTTTGTGACAACTTGACTGTCCAGTTTTGGTTCCTTAAAGTCTTGCGAATCAATCATTTGCCAAGCAGACAGTCCTAACGCGAGCATTCTTAACAACAATACGAGCACTGCATTTTCTCTAGGTAATGCTTCACAATTTATCAAATGAAGCGCTATTTTGATTGCACTGCTAGCGAGAAAATTCACTGCATAGGGATCGCACAAAATCATACTTAGGTCCCCTAACACCTGCTCCTGTCCTCTCTACAAAACTACAAATCAATATCTCTTTCTTTACGCAAATAATGTTATAAAACACGATTTTGATTCAATTACCTTAATACTGTCCAAAAAGCCTTGTAATTCACGAGATCTTTTAACATCCACATTTTTTTCTCTGATGCATGCGTCCAGACACCACGTAAACTTATGACATGGATCTACAGAAATAATATCTTGCACCTGACAACAAATAGCACACTCAATAAAATTAAAGCGATACAAATTAAGTTATGTATCAAGTTATATTAGAATGTTGCATAGCTCCATGTAGAAGTGATGGATTTATAATTGAGTTTGATTGGGCTCCTACATACAGATTTCAATCTTCAAACAATAACAATAAAAAAAACGATTCTCCAGAATAAAAATTGGATTAGATTTAAAACTTCTTTGCTGGAGAGAGTTTACAACTTCTTTCCACAAAAATTATATTATAATTGTAATGCAATTTGAAAATTGATATCTCTCGAGCTGACAAAATAAAATAAATAAACATGTTGAATATATTTACCTCTAAATCATGTAACGCCATTAACAGTTCTGCTCTGAGAGTACAGTAGTGGATATTCTTTGTGCGTAAAAATAAAGTCCTTAAAAACTGCAGTACCATATCATACAATTTTACACTATGTCCAATCATATGAGCTAACTTCTGTACAACTTCACCTTGTCTTCTCACCTATGCAAAATGAGAGAATTATACAATGCTAATTCAAATACAACCAATTATAATATACCTTTGGAGATGGCATAAAAAATAGACTGTTCAAATTGCGATGATCAAATAGAATCTGTTCTTTCTCAATGATATAACGACTGAACAACGGCGAGACTTCATCGCCAAAAAGACTTTGATTATCCTTCCATATCTGACGTTTTACTTCTGTATCGGCGTCATTGTATAATTCTCTTTCTCTAACTAACACTCGCAAATATTTGTCATCAATGTGTAAGGTATTCTTTAGGATGCACATAACAACAGGTCGCAAAGCGTTAACTCTAACAGCAGGAAAACTTTTCGATAACAATTCCTTCATTCTCTTGTCTCCAGAGGAACCTTTATCTGCCCTTTCCACGCCGATTTCATCAATTTGTTTGATCAGTTTCTCCCGCAGCTCTTCGAGAACAGAGGCATGGAAATCTAACCTTCTGACTCCATGCAGATCGAGTAAAGGTAACATAGGCCGTAATGATGGTAGTAATATGCCATTTTCCAACTAAAATGAAACATTATTGCTTTGCAAAACGCTGTATATTTACTAACTTATGCTATACTCGATGAGTGATGTTGTTCTTTGATTGATTTTTTACCTGAAATCCCTCGATAGCTTTCAATGGATCTGTACAACTTGTTAAAGCGTCTCTCAAATACACTTGTCCTGGTATACCAAGATCCTCCAGTCCATTGCCAGTCTCACCATTACTCTTCGCTGAATTCATAACTCCGTTTTATTACACAGTATAAAATACCACGTTCACTTGCCCCCGTCGACTCGATTATGTACTTATGTTGTATAGATTGAAATAAATCTATTATTTTCTTACAGGATAAATTTTATAATTCAAACTCGTTATTTGCTATTAACAGTAATAAATAAATATTTATAAATTGCTTGATATTTTTCTCATACTATCAATTCAAACTTGAGAATACTCGAATTACTTTAAAATCTATTTGGCCATCTGACTATCTGTAAACTAACTAAAGTGCCGTAAACTAACTAAAGGTGTATTCACATGGAAGCGTCAAGCAGCGGAAACGCAACCAATCAATAAGGCAATTTTTATAGTGGCGTAAAAAATATTTTTTACACTATTTTTTGTATTGCCCAGATTGGTTGCTGCTTCTCTTGCTTTACGCTTGCATGTAAATGTAAACCTTACAAATCTGTAGCTAATCAATGTACATTTTTGGAACTTAAAGTAAAATAGGTATATGTTTGATATTTGTTGAATCCATAAAAGAGAATTCTATACTTTGATTATCTTCTAAAATTTACTACCATTACTGAAAATGTATAGTTTACGTCACGTGCACTATAGATTTTCAGTACGGCAGTAAATTTTGGAACACGGCTTCTAGCGCAGTCTAGTGAGTAGTGCAGGAATGAAGTAAGAACAGAAAACAAATCAAATGGCTCTTATACATTAGCTATGTTCAGCGGATTCAACAGTGAAATGAGCGCTTGCTGCTATATTCTTCCAGATCTAAAATACTGATTGAATCATTTAAAAGAATATATTAATAACAGCGAACGCCACTCAACAGTTGAGTCCGCTTAACGCAGCCCATAATTGATCGTGTTCAACAGCCTCAACTGTTACGGAGTCCGTTTGTTACTATTGATGTATTCTTTTAAATCATCTAATAGCAGCGTTTTCTTAGCGCTGAGACATTACCGTGTCTGCATAAAAAAAGTGTGTCTTCCATCAAGCGACACAAATGACATAGTGTGATACAATGGATCATTACATCCTTGTTTGCCAATGTTAAACAAAGATGATATGATCACTGTGTCGCGTGTTGGAAGGCATACATAATATATACAATAATTATATGCATAATAGTTTTATATATATAAACAAAATTAATTGCATGTAATAAAATTTAATTTTTGCGTGAATGAAATAATTTTTATAGAATAAATATTGTATGTATATGTATGTACTTTTTATTTTGCTATTTGAAAATAATTTTTGTTTTTACGTACCTATATATGAATGCTTATTAAATAAAAATATTGTTTCTTTTAGAAGCAATTTTATATATAATACTTAATTATTGTATATAATAAAAATAATTTTTATAGACAAATATTTTATGCACGCAGATTA